GACACCCATGTTTAGGGGGTCTGGATTGGTCCTTTGCTAGTTTCCTAGCTACCTGTCTGGGGTCCATGATATTACCCTTGTTCAGGTTGGCTGTTTCTGTGGGTTTCTCCAGTTTGGTCTTGACCCCTTTGTTCATCACTCCTCCATCTCTGAAACTGGATTCCAGTCGTTCAGCTCAGTGTTTAGCTGTGGGTGTCAGTTTCTGCTTCCCTCAGCTACTGAATGAAGGCTCTAGGATGGTGTATAAGGTAGTCATCAATCCCATAATCAGGTAAGGGCATTGTTTAGATTGATAGTTGTTGTCATCCTTATTGATTACTGGACATTTCCCTAGTGCCAGATTTCTCTTTAAACCTATAATGGCTCCCTCTATTATGGTATCTCTTTCCTTGCTCTCTTCTACTCTTCCCCTGACTCAATCCTCCTGCTCCCTCATGTCCTCCTCTCCCCCCCTCTTCTCCCCTTGTCTTTCTCTTAACTCCCTCTCCCCTCCCTCCATGCTCCCAATTAGCTCAGGAGATCTTGTCCCTTTCCCCTTCTCCAGAGGACCATGTATGTCTCTCTTAGACTTAATCCAGTCAAGTTGACATCAAGAATACATTGTTGAAGAAAAAAATCTTTCCTAATAGAATTCTGACATAAGTGCATAAACAAATACAAAGAATTTAGAAATTATAGCATGCCTTGAAACAATCAAATTAATAATGTCTCCAATCCAGAATTTGGTCCTTTAACTAAGCAATGCCAATAATCTGATATAGCATTACTGAACCTTAAATGTCATGACATGGAAAGAGATTAATGTTACTATAATATTTAAATTATTAGAGAAACTGATTTGGATTTCCAGTGGTCATTCTTTATCTACACTCAGCTCCAAAGTTTCTTTATGTAAATGTGTCTTCCTCAAGAATGATCACTGTCAGCTGGGATTGGTAATCTGTGAGGATAACATCCTCCCCCTGCTTCTCCTTTTATTCTCTGCTGGTTTTCAGCCTTCCTGTTACTCGGTTAGTAGTCATTAAGTTCTAAGGTCTAAGCTGTTGATCTCTGACCTCTTTTATACCCCTATGTAAATGGTCTTCCTAAATTTCTAATGAGTTCCTTAAATTGCCTTCCTTCAGTAACATTCTGTTAAAAGAAAAATCCAAGTGCTCATGTGATCTTATACTAATTTATGAAAAAAATAACCTTGACCTAAGGAAATTCTATTCCTCTTTTATTGGACATTTCTCCAGATAACATTTTGCATGTATTATAGAGGGGAAAGTGTTTATTTGAAACATGATGCTACAGTACTATGTAGATTTGTTTGCATAAATATTCTTCATTGTTTGGTAAAGAGATATGACATCTCTAACCATTACTAAGTATCATTCTAATAGCAATGCTTTCTGACTACAAAGAAAAATACACTTGTAGAAGGAAGTCTCAAATATGTAATAATCACTAAATGTCCGGCATATACTCAGCTCAAAATTTTATCAAATCACAAAGGCTCAAGTATGCTAGTTATTGTGTCCATTAAAATTTAAGCTAATTAAAAGGTACAAAGCAGATATTAGTGTCAGTGATTTACCTTATACAAAACATACTAAATTACTTGAGAAGTAGACACAAAATATAATGTTTCATATTAGCTCAGTGTGACAGCACAGACAGACTGTGAAGAAAAGTTTTTCTCTGTGCCAGAGTCAATGTGATTTTCAATGTTCCCCTGAGAATGACATAGTGGCCTAGTCCACTTGCTGCAAGGTATAGAGAGTAGGCACCAGCAAGTAGGCTCTAATACACAGGCACAGGTATGCAGACATAGGCATGCATGTTTGGAAGTGTCCTGTATCACTTCTGTTCACAGTATGTGGACTAGAATCATGAAGGTGGCTTTGAAAGAAAGATATGGGCTCAATGAGTTTAAAATGCCATCTCAGAAAGCCAGTAGAAGACTTGCCAATTTGAAAACCTGCAAAGGGTCCTAGAAAACACTCTCTCCCTATGCACATACAGCTTACTCAAACAAAGGGGCGCACAGGTGCCCAAACATGGAAAAGGGGTCTCTGTTGATGACTTCAAAAGGAACTATGTGCACTAAGTGTTAATAACCTTTTCCTGGTTTCAAATTTATAGTGCTAAAATGATGCTGTGTTGTAGTATTCCTGGGAGGAAGGAGAGTACTGAAGATTACTTCTGTACTGCCCCTGAGGGAAGGCACACTGCATCATGGTCCAGGATGAGATGGTTGCCTGTCTTCTTTGCTCTCTCCTGTTTATTTCAAACCATGGGTGAGAGATTACTTTCACTTTCTGCACAAACTCTCCGTGTTACCATGTAGTCATCCCTCAGTCCTTCACTAGAGTAATTTCTTACCAATAATGACATGCCAGACACCCACAGCTAAGCACTGAGCCATATTCCTGGAATCTAGTTGTAGAGAGAGGAAGTAGGGATGAACAAAGGAGTCAAGACCATACTGGAGAAACCTACAGAAACAGCTGACCTGACCTAGTGAGAGCACAGGGACCCCTGTGGTATAGCTGGGGAATGAGCATTGGACCAAACCAAGCCCTCTTAATGTGGGTACCAGTTAGGATACCTGGGTAGTTTATGGGACCTCTGTCAGTGGAACCAGTATTTGTCCCTGGTGAACAAATGGTCTTTGGGAGCCTTTGGAAGGATGCTATTTCAGCCGAGACACACAGAGGAGGTTCTAGGCTCTGCCCCAAATGATTTGACAGACTTTGATGATCCCCCATGGAAGACCTCACTATCCTTGAGGAATGGGTGGGGGTGGGCATGTGGGGATTGGTGGGAGCATGGGAGGATGGGAGGGACATGGAATGGGGGACACTGATACGTAAAGTAAGATTGTTCCTAAATTAAAAAAAACAATAACGACTTGCAATGTAGAATTCTTATAGTTGAATTTTCTTAATCTGTCTTAAAAAGGACAATTAATTCCTAAATTATTTCTTCTATTTTTTGCCACTAGTAATTTAGAATCACTTTTGGGCTGTGTCATCTGTGCTAGGCCTTAATATTTTCTAATCCATATTTTAAGTTTAAGGTTTTTCTCCATATAAGCATGCATTATTCCATTTTATACAGGGATAGATTTTTCCTAAACCAAATGCTGCTGCATTTATATTTTTGAAAATTCTTATGGAACTTCCATTAATTTTCTAATGCTTTTCATTGTTGCTAAATCATTGATATGCCTTTATAACTATTAATGAAGAAAATTAAAAGTGAAAACACTTTGCTATTATTGATGTGAAGTTTAAAAAGCATTTTTCTCATTAGTTAAAACTGGAATTTGTCACATTCTTTATCCTCCATAAAAAAATCTCACCTGTAAGTGATTGTGTATACTTTAAGAATAATACTCATAGAACCTGAAGATGGAGAACAAGCTTTCATTTTTCTGATAACACATTATCTGTATTACTCAGCAAGCTTATGGGATTTGGAGGACATATATTAAAATAGTAAGAGATATCAGTGTTAAAAACAAGTGCAAACAATTATATATTTGAACTGAAAAACATGTAACAATATAGCAGTTGTGCACTGAATTACGTTTCTTATTCAAGATGCTCTGAAGCAATGCTCTTCCATAGGACAAAGAGTAACACTCAAATTCATTTCACATTTTAAAACATCGTAGATCACTCACTAATGGAAAGCATCCTCACTTGAGACCAAGTCTTGTCTACAAATACTGCCACTGAAAATATAATAATAATTTATTTGAAAGCAGCTTCACTCTTTATGTACTCTTGATATGAACTCTAAAAGCATCTTATAAAATGTATAATATGGATGTGTACAATGGAAAATTTGTTAGAAAAGCATCACATACATATGTACATACTTATACATACATATGCACTTACAAATCCGTTTGCAGACACCATAAACCCCCCCCCCCCCCCCCACACACACACACACACACTTGTTTACAGCCTACTAAGCCTATTTTTGGACTATGCCAACTAGTCAATGTGCATCAGTGAAGAATGCTACCCCACCAGGCATGGCGGTCCACACCTTTAATTAGCAAGAACTCCTTAAGTACAAAGCTACCCTGGTCTTGGTTTATATCATGTGTTCCAGGTCACCAGCCAAGGCTACATAACAGATATCGTGTGTCCATAACACAAAGAGGGATGCTCTCTCAGCCTGGACTCTTAGGGGAGTGTCTGGACCCTACCCTGAGTGAAATGACAGACTCTAGATATCCCCTATGTGGAAGGAATTGGCAATAGGGTGGGAGGATGGGGGAGATAATAAGGGGGGTGCGGGAGGAGGGGAGGGAACTGAGATTGACATGTAAAACAAGCTATTTAAAATTAAAATAATAAAAAATCAAAAATAAATAAATAAATATACCTAGACCTATTGTATTTCTTAATAAAAATGAAAATTACATTAAAAAATTGACACTTATATATTGTTGATCCATTGTATGTGTTATAATTTGTTGTGAATGTAATATAAATTGCTTTCACTGGTTTACAATTTAACTTTAGAACTGAATCTACCTCAAACACAACACAACTGTTCTTTTTTTTTCAGAATATAGTTTACTCAGAACATTAGTATATGCAGAGAGATGATAAAAACATGAATTTGTGATTGAATGAGTTGTAACACTACTTGGACATTTATCAGGTATATAATAGCTTTGAAATGTATTCAGAACAAGAGATATGATGTGAGATTTGAAATCTGTGAACTCTAAAAACATTGTTACTTGAATGTTTTTCTTTTTGAAGTTTGTATTTTCTAACATTGATAAATGTTCTTCAAGCTTTTTAGCAACTCTCCTGTGCATCTGCCAGCAAATATTGCTGCATCTACATGACTTTGCTGATGGCTTTCCATCTGTAACTGACTCATGACTTTTTTAATAGTATTTTTGTCCATTTACAGAATAGGTTCTTTTAGAGTGACTCCCTCTTTGTGATTAATTCTGACATCTTGTTTGTTTTCTCTTCTAGGTGGTGGAGACTAATCTGGTTGCTTTTGACTGTCACTGGATCATTATAAATGAGGTAAAGCCACCCCACCCTTGCTATCAACTGTCACCTTTTCACACATGGAGTCACAGAAGGCCCCCCCTCTAAGGGGGAGTAGAACAGGAAGTAAAGGTTCAGTGTACTGTATGAATGCTCTCTAATAAAAATAGAATCCAGGTTTTTATCTGAATTAAATAAATGGAAAAAGTCTTCCCTACTGAGTCTCTTTTAGCTTTTCCTGCTGCATTCATTGCCTACTTAGAGAGATGATCTCTATGAAAAGTTCAGTTCTTTATAAGCAATGTGAATCTCCCAGGGGATAGTCTGTGTTCCATTTGTATTTTAATATCTTTTTGGAAACTTTCATATCTATCTCCCTACCTGAGGATTTAATGGTTCAGCATGAGCATGAATCAACAAAGAACAGATTTTTTCCCCACAAAGAAATACAACTGTTTTAAAAATCCAAAGTCTTGTCAAAGTCCTTCAGAAAGTTTTCCTAACATTTGGCAAAAGCAATACAAAGAATTGAGAGTATGTTGTAGTCTAAGAAGACTGTTTCATTAGCATTTGACAGTCACTACCAGCAAAAATAGCAACAGACAAGACCTGGACAAATAGTGTGACTGTGCCAGGCAACATGCTATGTCCTCAGAATGATGTGGTCTAACCCTACCTATTATTTATAAAAAGTAGTGTATCATTTATGTACCAATGATTTTGATGAGGTTATATGATGACAAAAATTGTTTTAGGGATAATATAGCCTTTTGAATAAAACGTTTGGTTTTGCAGTCAACAAAATTAGATTTCACCTTGCCTTGTTATCTGTTACAATGGACTTATTGTATAAACTGACAACATGACCAGCTGTGGTATGGGTTTTATTGTAGATAAAGAGGAAGAGTTTTATTGTAGAGGTGAGAGACAGAATTGCCAGAGCACCTGGAAGAGTCCAAGACAGAGAGAGAGAGAGAGAGAGAGAGAGAGAGAGAGAGAGAGAGAGAGTAATATACTGAACACAGCCAGCAGACAGCTCTGGCCAGGAAAGAAGCAAGAGAAGAATAGTGATGGAGAGAAAGGAACAGAGTGTGGAGGGAAGGGGAGAGGGAGAGAGAGAACACAGTGATACTGAGAAACAGTGGGGTTAGAAGAAGAATGAGTTGGTGGGGGAAGAGAAGTCAGTGAGCTGGAGATTTAGGGTATTGAAAGAAGTGAGGAGGCTAGGATGCTATCATGGACTTTGAGATGTGCAACAAGCACTTTTGATACTTTAGGAACCTAGAGGCTATCATGTGCTTTGTATGCTAATAGGCACCACAGATAGCCATTTGTCCCTTCTGTCAGTGATAAAAGAAATGGCTCCTTTTGCTAGAGGAAAGACTGGATTCACAAATTCAAAAGTTCCTGATGGGTGCTGGCTTTTCTCTCACCACCAGAAGCTCTCCTATAGTCTGGGACTGCGGTTTGGAGTCTTAGAAGTCGGTGTTCCCTTTACACCTAACACAACCTTCATATATATATTCTCCCTGGAATTTTTAAAAAGAATTCAGTAAGGTTCTATCTTAACAACTCCTGAGGTGTAACTCAAAAAAGCCGGACTCAGTATCTGTTGAGTGAAGCCTTTTCCTTGCCAGCAGCTTTGATTTTTCCCCACCAGTCGCCTGGACTCTGCAGGCGTTGTAGTCACCAAGTAACACACAAGATGCTGTATTAATTATGAAGCTGTTGACCATTTGTTTGTTTCTTGCTGCCTAGCTCTGATTAAGTATTTAACCCATCTAAGTATTTCTCTTACCGGAGAAAAGGGTCTGGACTTCTTACCCCTATGGCAGCTACATTGTGATTCCCTGTGTTTTTCCTCCCCAGAATCCTACTCGACTCCTAGTCCCAACTCTCTTGCTTCCCTATTGGCCAACAGTGCTTTATTGACATATACACAGGACTTCCCCATCAAGTATCCTTTTTTTCCTGTCACACATCCCCATCACTCTACGTAACATGATTGACTATGAAATTGACAAGGCTGTGGTGGAGGTCTGTAAAACATAGACGCCTTTCCTCTTCCAACACAAAAATAAAAATACTGCTGTTTCAGCATTTCTCCTACACAAGGCTTCACTCTTTTTAGCTCAAGGTAAAGATATTGGAGCCATTTTCCCATCTGGTCTGGGAGTGCTTATATGATTTGTCACTATGGTATTCATGCATTCTTTTTTGAGATTCCTACAAGCAGTATGGATGCACAAGATTTCTTTTCAATAATCTTCTCGTTATACCTCTTAAGTTCCTGCCTGATGTATAGTTTCTTAACTTCTTTATACAGTTTTGAGATCAGCCTTCTGTCAGATGTGGGATTGGTGAAGATCTTTTCCATTCTGTCGGCTATCATTTTGTATTATTTACCATGTCCTTTACCTTATAAAAGCTTTTCAGTTTCAGGAAGTCCATGTATTGATTGTTGTTCTCAGTATCTGTGCTGCTGGTGTTATATTTGTGAAATGGTCTCAGGTGCCAATGTATTCAAAGTTATCTCCCACTTTCTCTTCTATCAGATTAAGTGTACCTGAATTTATGTTGAGTTCACTTGGAATTGTGTTTTGTGCATGGCAATGGATATGGACCTATTTGCAATCTTCTACATGTTGACAACCAGTTATGCCAGCACCATTTGTTGGAAATGCTACCATTTTTTTCTTTATATGGTCTTTATTTCTTTCTCAAAACTCAGGTGTTCATAGGTATATGGGTCTTCAATTCCAGTAGTCCACGTGTCTGTTTTTATGTCAATATTAAGAAGATTTTTTATGATTATGGCTCTATAGTAGAGCTTTAAGTCAGGCATGGTGATACCTCGAGAAGTTCCTTTATTGTACAGGATTGTTTTAGCTATCCTGGATTTTTTGTTTTTCTATATGAAGTTGAATATTATTCTTTTGAGGTCTGTGAAGGTATTTGTTGAGATTTTGATGGAGATTGCAATGAATCTGTAGATTTCATTTGGTAAGACTGCCATTTTTTATTATACAGATCCTACCTATCTGGGGTGTTCATGGACTCTAGACCAACATTTAGGGAGCCTGCATGGAACCGAACCTGGCCCTCAATATGTAGGTGACAGTTTTGTAGCCTCATCTGTTTGTGGGTCCTATGTCAGTGGGACCAGGATCTATCCCTAGTACATGAGCTGTGTTTTCTTCAAGTCCATTCCATATGGTTCAATGCCTTGCTCGGCCTTAATGAGGTGGGGGTAGGAGGTTTGGTCTTGCCTTATCTTAATGTTCCAGGCTTTGTTGACACCCCATGAGAGGCCCTACCCTGTAGTATGAATTCTAATTGGTCTTAGTAATAAAAGCCCAGAGTCAGACATCTAGGGGGTTGGGGGAAGCTGAAACATCAGAGAAGCAGAATGGTCAGCCACTAGAATGTTCTTATGTCTACTAATGCTGAGACCAAAGGGGTGAGCCTGTCCTCATAATACATCTCTTTTATCTCCTCCTGCTTTATATTCCTCTCTGTATCCAGTCATATCTCTCCTTTCTCCACCTCCTCAATGCTAGAATTAAAGGCTTGTGATCCCAAGTTCTGGGGGCACCTTTGTGTGAGCTCTGTTTCTCTTTTAGACAGATTCAATCTCATGTAGCCTAGGATGGCCTTGAACTCACAGAGATCCATCTGCCTCTGTCTCCAGAGTGCTAGGATTAAAGGTGTATGCCACCACTGCCTGGCTTCTATGGCTAACTACTGTGGCTAGTTTTGTGCTTTGATCTTCAGGCAAGTTTTATTTCTTAGATCATAAACAAAATATCACACCTTATTGGGATGGGGATGGGTCAGGGAGAGGTGCAGGTTGGGGCAGGGAGAAGTGAAGGGAGGAGGAATTGTCATTTGTATGCAAAATGAAGTTTTAAAAAGTTTCCACCTGATTGATTATATACCACACTAGAAAGAAAAGCAACAATGAATAGAATATAGTGAGCTTTTGTAAATTTTCACATAGGCTTCTCCATTTTTGTTTTTCTAAATGAAAACTAAAGTTTGAAGACATTAAATAGTCCACCAAGTATTAAAAAAATATTAAGCAGAAATAATGGAATTTTAATAGCACTCTTACTAATGTAAAGCTTCAGTTGCTCTTGGGTTTGTTTTACTTCTGATAATTCCCCTTTTGACTTATACTTTTGAGATCTCTGTTGTATTTACTTTAATTATTTTGTAAATTTCTTTTTCTTTGTATGTAAAGAATCCCCCTAATCCCAGTTTTCACCTCACACCCAACTTTTTTTAAAGACCACATGGATTTCAAGTTGCAGAGCAAACAGAGTTCTTCTACTTCTTTGTGTCCTAAAAGCTGGCTAGGAAGAAAAAAGTAACTTCTTGTCCCCTTGGAGGATAATCATTTTTTAAATCAATTTTATTAAAATTTAAATTAAAAACACTTATTTTACATACCAATCCCACTTCCCTGTCCCTCTTTTCCTGCCATTACCAGCATCAACCCCCCCATTCCAACCTGACCACTCCCCAGGGGGGATCATCAAAGTCTGTCACATCATTTGGGCCATAGCCTAGGCCCTCCCCCCATGTATGTAGGCTGAGAGAATATCCTTCTATAGGGAATGGTCTCTCAAAGCCCATTCATGCACTAGGGATAAATACTGGTTCCACTGATAGAGGCAACAAAGACTGCCCAGGCCCCAAAATAACACCCACTTTCAGGGGTTCTTTAAATGGAATGGTCATTTTTTCCACCTTTTGGTGAGATGGAAAAAGGGACCCTTTCACTATTTCTTTTTCCCTATCCAATTTTGCTCCTACAATAATACTTGAATCCTCATAGTGTGAAGGTGGCTAGAGTTCAAAGGTCAACTCCTACTTCAGAGGAAAGTTCCCATTCATCATCTTATATTACAAGCTATATTACACATACATAGTTGAGTAGACTAACATCGTTGATGTCTTAGCTACCACCTTGCAAAATGAATTATCCAATAAACAAAGAAATCTAACTGGTCAATTACTCATTCAATATTAGCACTACAGAAGGTGATAGAAGACCTCAATTATTTGCTCATTCTGAAGATTTTGCTATGAATGCTTTCAACGATAGTTTCATTTTTTGATGTCTTGAAACCCTTACTTTGTTTTACTTATGATCATATTTTGTAGTCCATGAGGAAAATGCCATCTCTCACTAGCAATTCAATACTGTTTAGAATAAAAACTAAAAAGTTCACAGCCTGCGTCATTTACATCAATGATTGGTTTTATCTGAACCGAATAGCAGTATAAAGAATGAACATGGTTGCAAGGAAAAGTATTATCAGTCAGAACATCCAAGGTCTGTTCTTTCCTTCCACCCAATTTCATTCTGCCACCTTATCTTCTAGAAGTTTCCTTTAGGAAATGTGGTCCATATCCTTTTTTCTTATGTGGAAAAAAGTTAATAGAAGAACCATGATTATTCCCAATTTCAATAAAGGAAAAAATATGTGCTTTTCAAATTTGTTAAAAAGTTGAGTATCTCCCAAAAGAACAAACCCTCACCACTATGCAAATGCCTATTTGACTGAACATGAAGAAAGTGATTTTTTTGTAGTTCAGTTTGAATAACTATGGTTTAGCAGCTATTTTAAAACAGGTTGCAAACATTTATTTAATCTTATTGCACCAATAGTTTCATAAAGAGGGATTATAAATCAAAGTTGACATTGTGCATTATGGCAGAAGTTGTAGAAACTTGAAAACAATATATTTTGTTTTAATTTGTACCAAGTATGCTGTAATAATGAGAGGCTGTGCAAGCTCACAGGAAGCCATCAATCAAGTTAGGACTTGGTGAGGGTATTTCTAGTATCTCTGCACTTGGTGAGTCCACCTCACAGTAGACTTTCCATATCTGTGATAACCTCCTCTTAGGGCCCTGAAGCAATTGCTTTCATGCCCTGTTTTACAAAAGCAAGGACCTAGATAACATATGCAATGCTTTGCAAATTCCTGGGGCTCCTGATGATGCTGACCCTGGTCTTCAGGGCCTCATATCATTCCAGTGACTAAAAACAAGTTTAAGCTATTATTCTCAGTCAGTGAAGACTGTGTGTAAAGACATCAAAGAGAAAGCCTTTGGTTTGAGAGTTTGGATTCTTGTTTTGAAATTTTAAAATGGAAGTATAGTACATATTTTGCACTTTTTCCTAGTTTAATGATGAATTGATCTCTATATCAATAATTAAACCAGAAATTAATTGCCATTATGTTATTCTTCTACTGACTTTATTTCAGAATCCAATATAAGGTTTTCAAATCTGCTTCATGTTAGCATTGGACTTTCTGTAAATGTCACAGGGTCATCTGTGCCACAGCATGAAGAACATAAACATAATAGAGAAAAAAATCTTTTCAAACTGCACCATAGCGGAATACAGCATCTCATTGATGAAATGTTCTATGTCAGGATTATTTCTCTTTTCAATGCTTCCTGAGAGTCTAACGTCAAATTGTCAGCTACTGATTCTGTTAAAGTAGGGTAAAGTAAAACCTTACCATTGGTTCACACAGTAAATTTCAGTTTCCATGAATTTCCTGAATATTTACTGTGGTCCAGGAACTTTATTTGATATGCCAATATGAAAGAATGAGAAAGGGAACAAATGGAAAAAAACAAATTTTTTCAGAAATAATTAATGCAGTGCAGATTGTCAACTGATTTGATAGCTACTGAAAGTCTTTCCACCTGCCCAATTTTTGTTAATTTCACCCTAAAGTTGACCTACTTAAAGGTTTCAGAAATGACTAAATTCCAAAGGATTTGTTCTGGGCAATATCTGTTTCTGTGTTCTTATTAGGTAACTTTTCCCATGGTGGGCTTTACACATTTGAGAGTCCAGGTTACATTAAACTATTAGTGTAAAGTGAATATTACTTGTATATGTTAATTCACCACAATAATTTTGATTATGAGTAATTAGCCTTTGGAAAAATCTTACGATTTGTTCCTAAAGAAGTAAAACTGAAAAGACACCTATTTGCTTTTTTTGAAGTATTAATTGTATGCTCATCAATATATGCAAGCAAAGACAACAAAAGCAATGTTAGAATTCTGATTCTTAGTAGTATTTTCAATCAGAATATTTCAGTATCCCTTTATAGGAATCAATTAGCTCATTTGGCATGCTGAGGGACAGTACTTTTTCATAGACTAGTTCCTCATGGTATTGCTTTCAAAATCCTGCAATTAAAATGGCATTTAAAAAAGAATAGAGCAACAAAGACCTTGTTTGCACAAGAGTTTGATACTTCAACACAGTCACTAAGGGAATTTGTTTTTACTGTTTTGAAAGGATTTCTGTTTTAGATTAACTGATCATTTGTCATTGAATGTTTATTTGACTTCCTATCTGCTACTGTGGAAATGCACCTTTTGGAGAACAAAGGAAAATTCTAAGCAAATGAAGTTAGTCTTGATGAAGCTTGACACCACCCTGAAACCATTTTAGAGACCAGGTGTCAAAACTAAAATTAGAAGTAAAATGTTTGAGACAGTTAGTTTCCCACAGAATGGCAGCTTCTTTCCTCCCAGAAAATTACTTTCATTTTCTTCCCTCAAATAATAACATACAAAGTATATTCTACTCAGTTGGCATTTCTTCAGATTTACTTGAAGTTAAATAATTGAGAACTTCATCGTATGGAACATTTAGATAACAACCAACCCTTTCTGGGTTTGGAGACAGACCTAAAAGAGAGTTTGTCTCTAGATGGAGGGTCTTAGGAGATATTTCAGACAGAGGATCTTACTACTTTAAAACTATCAGTCACTAAATGCTGACATACTGTGTGCTTCTTATCTTCATTGTTCTTATTCTTCAATGGTAATCTAAGTGATTCCTGTAAGGAATTCTGCCTTCTTATATAATTAGTGCACATTTCATTTCTTTTCTTGTGACATTTTAAATTCTTACATGAATAAAAATAATCTAAATGAAGAGCTTTGAGCTTAGAACCTCCTTGGTTCTTATTTATAAAATGTTAATAAACAGTGAGTCAGTGTCATTTTTAGCAGAAATTGAGATACTAGACAAAGGAACTAGGATTTTGCCTGATACAAAATAGGAGTCCATTATCTGCAGATTTTTAGCTTTAGTATGCTGGCTTGTAGTTCATCACCGTGTGAGGTAATGATGCAGATGGTAGTGTTTGTCAAGTTTGGGTAACTATTTATTTGCTTAAGAAATAAGTAGAATATATTATTATTATTTAAAAATCACTGTATCTTTTACTACCTTCTAGATGAAATTTCCTGGCTGTACAATATGGAGCAACAATATTGATATTAATCCACTTTTAAAATGTTGTAATTTATTTGTATCAAGTACTAAAGTAGAATTGACAAGACACTGTTTACTTCTGCTTTGTGGGAAGATAGTGGAAAATTAAAATTTTCCCAGACCAAGTTTAGGTGGCCAATGAAATGACACAGACTAAAGGGAAAAGAGGGCTTTTAACCTGCTGAGAACCATTGTTTATGGTGCATTGAGGATTAATCGCCTAGAACTTCCTGATATTACTGTGGATACAGTTGATGGCAGGGGACATTATAGTTTTAGAAAAGCCTATATTTCATAAAGAACATAAAGAAAGAATGAGTTCTCTGGCTTACATGCCACAAAGAATTATAACTTATAATTGACATGATAGAGAAAAGAAGAAAATTAGTTCCTTGGATATCCAGGAATGCACACCACAGTTAATAATTCATACCATGTCAAATCACTTATTTTCATTGCATAAGAATTGATTCACACCAAAAATCAATGCATCACAAAAGCTTTATTGGCTTCAAAACTTTCCAGTGGACATGATGCAGCACACGTTGCTTTAGCAAAGACTGCCAGGAAATTGAAATTTGTGTTTGTCACTTTTGCTCTAATTCCAAGTAAGACAGTAGTATATATGAAGCTATCATTTTTTTATTATTTTAGTGTCTGCTATTGAGCCTAATTATTGTATCTAATTTTGGAATAGGGACATGTAGGTGAAGGGAATAGAGGATGCATTTCTTAGACTTTGTCAAGCACACATACAAGGTCAAATTCATTTACATAGCCCTGGGTTTTGTTGACATGGTTCACTCCATACTAATCAACAGAACTTTCTACATAGATTTACCAACCACAGCAAGAGGTAAATTCTTTCATTAGTAGTTGTTGAGCACCCATTCCTTCCAACATATGGGGACATCAGTACAAAGACATTTTAAAACAGTGTTTCCTTCTGATGCCTTTGCTTAGTTCTTGGAAAAAACCTCAATTTTTCTTGCTAAGAACCACATGGATCCTTCTTACATTTCATCTCCCTTCCCAGGTACACAAAATATCTTGAAAACTATTAATTAATCATAAGCTATATTTGAATCTTGTTTTTGTGAACTGTCAATATTTTTCTCTTATATTTTCAGAATAATCAGTTGTTAAATTGCTTTTAATAAAGTATATTTAAGACACATGGTCCATGTAGACTTGTTTATACATCCATGCTCATAATTTAAAGCAACAGAAAACAAATGTGAATAAATTCATCTTTTTGCTAAATGCACCTAATTTTCACTTGAATGCTGGTTAAATATGAAGCAGATGTGTTAGGGCAACAGATTTCTTTGTACCTCCAAATAACAGTTCAGCAATTCCTTTGCGTTTCTGTTACTATATTTGAGAACTTGCTAATTATTCTCCTTCGTATCTTTTAGGAAATAAATGACATGGATGTCCAGGAACTTGTCAGAAGGTCCATTGGAAGGTTAACAATTATTCGCCAGACATTTCCTGTCCCTCAGAATATAAGTCAGCGCTGTTTCCGTGGCAACCATCGAATCTCTTCAACACTGTGTGATCCCAAGGATCCCTTCGCGCAGAATATGGAGGTGTGTTCCAAGGGCGGAGTGTCTCCCAGGGAGCATCTTTAGGAGCCTGGGATGATATCTCTGAGTGACACTAGACAGGGATGGCATGCATTATTGTTCTTCGGCAGGTTCCCTCCCCTGGCATTTAAGTGCCCGTGCAAAAAGCCTTTGTCTTTTATTCCTTTGATCCTATTGTTGAAAATAATGCACACTTTCTTAATAAAAACACAATATGTAAATCTTACTTCCCTCTAAGTAAGCAGATACAAGGCATTTCCTGAATCGTGGACTGTGACTGACACCCAAAGCTGTACTTCAAAGTATTAAGTGAATAGAAATGCTTGGCATAAAAGACAGATATTTATTCTCTTTCAAAAGAATTTCTAGATTGAAGAACTTCAACTTAAAAAAAGAATTCTTATTTAAAATTCAAAAAGTGCTGTGGTGCTGTGTGCCCCTCCCCAGCTCACACAAGAGACACTGGCACCTTCCCTGTCCAAAATCCACAAAGCATTTCAGATGAAACCCATATTTCTGAATCAGAGAACACCAAGTTCGCGAAATTACTCACAAGGCTATCCTTTGGACAATTCACGCAGAGCCAATTTCTTTTCGTTTTGAAGGATAATCCTATCAGATCTTTTTCTCTTGTACTGGAGGTCTGTCAATTGGAAGCTAGTATCATAGAGAGCAGGCACCAGCAGCAGGGAGCCTGGATAAGTTCTCCAGCCAAGCAAAAGACAGGAGGAAGAAAGAATCAATTTGTCACACTCATTTACACGTGGTTAGTAAAGGGCCTCACTGAAAAAAACAGACTTGTGTGATACAACAGACCCTATGTGTACTACAGTAGGATCATGCTAGCACCTGAGAATATTTAAAGGGTTATGTGATATCACCAAAGATTAGTCACCATAGATTTTACAAATCGGGAAAATATCATATATTACAGAAATGTAACCCCTTAAAATCTTTAGTATAGGAAATATTTTACTACCTAGAAGTGTTTGAACTATGTTGAAATACAATATAACCTTGGGAAACCTTATTTATTTCCCATGATATCCCACGTCTTTGATAGCTAATTCCACAGCCCTTCCCCCCTTCATTTACAGGTTGTTTAGAAGATTGCCATTTACCCTAGAATTTCCTTATATTTATTGGTATTAAATCCATGGTTCCTTACTGGATGTTAAAGGAGCTTAGCTTAAGCCTCTTCTATCATAAGCTACACTGAAACCTTAACATGCCTGTCTAAATGTTAGTGCCACTGTTAATTTTTCATTTGTGGTGGATTCTTTGTGTCACAACTGATTGTGAGCATAATTGGTATGAAAATAGTAGGAATGAAAATGTAAAGTAATTATGTTAGAAAATTAGGAAATATTAAAAGCTGTTCTTGTCCAAAGAAGTAGCTGGAAATTTAAGCTGCAGTTAAGAAACCTCATGGACTGTCTTTTGTGGAAAGCAATAAAGTGTTCAAGTGCTTTGCCTAACAGTATAACTCACAGAACAATTAAATTTCTCTCTGTGTGTCCCCACGCTTAGTGGATAGACAAGAGTTATAAAGAACCACAACCCCTGCTTATCCATTTTTTCATTTTGTTCTCAAATCCAAGGGTGAAGGAGAAAAAAACAATAATAGAATTCTACTAAAAATTGACAGAATTTTTTGATGTTTATTTCTGTTATTTTTGTTTGTTTGTTTCTGTTGTTGTGTTTGGTTTGCATTTGTTGTTGATATTGTTGTTCTCTCATGTACTACATCCTGACTGCCGTTTCCCCTCTTCTTTTTATCTGGGAAAATTTACATAATTAAGAATATGTATTTCCGGCTCTTAAGTTTAAAGCATTCCAAAAACAGCAGAGGACCTGATTGGTGCTCAGCCCTTCCTAGGTCGAAAGCTTTATCTCCTTGTAGTTAGAGAAAGTGACTGGACCAAATGCTCCTTTGCATTAAGTTCTCACTAGGTTCCCACTGATAGATGGTTCAGGAGTGGTGAGCATCTTAGGAAAGGAGGGTTACTCAGTTCAGCTCTGTAACAATGCAGGTGAGTGGAACCGCAGATGGATTTTTATCTCAGAGCTCTGCAGTGTCCAATTAAAGGTAGTGCCTAAGAATACAAGTGTGCAAATAGGGCTCAGGTGCTCACTAAAGCTAGAAATTGAATTCTACATCATGCTGATCTACATGCTGAGAGAAGATAAGCAACCATGGACCTGTGTGGTGGTCTCCTAGCTATTACCTTAAAAATGTATTTAGAAAGAGTAGACAGGTTTTGGAAGCAGTAAAGACAAATCCCGTGAACCTTAAATTAGTAATCAAAAACAGAGTAATCCAAGATTAGCTGACTTTGCAAAATAAGTAACAAGGACAATGTGAACAAAGGAGTTTGAGAGAAGCAGCCCTCCCTGCATGCTGAGGCTTTGTTAGTTTAGGTGCTAATAAAGAGAAGGAAAAAAAAAAGAAGGCTCCCTATATTTTTCCAAGAAAAACTGTCTTCCAGTTGATAGTGTTAAGGTTGTGAATGCAATTAGTAATACAAAGCTGGCTTTGCAATAGCAAAAGTCATTATAAAGAGTACTTAAGTGGGTTAGGAAACACACAGGGTTGGAGATTTTAAGGGTACACCTCTTTGCTTGAGCAAGGCTTGCTGAGGAATCAGTCACCTAGCAGATGAGATTACAGTACTACTATAATGTAATTTAGAACAAAAAGAGAAACTATGGCAAAAGGAGGTACAGAGTAATCAGTCACATAGCAGATGCAATTACAATACTACTATAATGTAATTTAGAACTAAAAGAGAAACTGTGGCAAAAGGATCAAAGATCCAGAGACAGACTTACTATTGCAGTTTTCAAAACAAAGAGCAGCTCTTGTAAGATTAGCATACTAAATTTTCATAGTCTACAATACTGAGTATATTTTAAATTTATAATTTAGAATATGTTAGTAAATACTTTGTGTATCTTACCTATGAAATAGGGCCTTCTTTATAACAAACAAGGTCAAAATAAACTTTTTTGAATAGTTTTTTTAATCTGCTTAATATGTTGGAGGACTAGTAGTGTTAATCATTACATATTGAGTTTATGTGATATTTGGCAATTTTCTTCAGCTAATACTAGGGAAGACATAGAAAAGTGCAGCAAGGTAGATAAAACTCAGACATTATCAATCCTAAGGTTAAAACGGCAGTCCACTGTGAGTAGAAAAAGTTCAAGTGCTAAAAATGTTATCATATAGTTACTTTAAAAAGTTATAAAATTAAAGATTTTATAAAATTAAAATACTCCAAATAACCTGTCAACCAAACTATATTTTTCTCTTTGTCACCTAGGGAAATGGAATTCCCTGCATTTGTCTATCAAATCTAAAAGATTTGATCTACCTAGAATATACTTTAAATGAATTCTGTGGCACTGAGTACATTCTGTTGTCCATAGTCTGCCACCAGCTGTTCCTTTACTGTCAGTTTGAGAAGTGTGGAATCAGAACTTTCATGCTTGACTGGGCAAATAACCTCTCCATGGTCATTCACAAGCTTCTGTCCTCCAACTTAATTCTCCAAGGGACAATCTACACTTGCTCAAAATTGTAAAAGATATAAACATATGAGAGAAAGATTAATAGATTGCATAAGCAACGTCAAAATTGTTAGTATTGACTTGTAGTAATTTTTAACGTTGGAATTCCATAGAAATAATGTAGTTCTAGAGCCAATTACATAAAATCTAGGTGGAAGAGCCTTGATCTGACATCTCCTCAAAATCATTACTTTGAAGGCAAATTCAATATGATTACAGCACAAGTCAAATCTGCTATGAACTACTCTAATACAGTCTCGGACTCTGTGTCAAAAGCACTTTGCCAAGATCAAGAGAGAGATCATCTCCCACTCCTATCTCCTAGGCAGCTCACATCTGCATTACTGTGTCAGTTCTAGTTACTAAACTTTTTGTGGAAAGGAGAAACAAGAGACAGACAAAGGAAGAGATGTGTCATGGCAAGCAGCCTAAAAACTGTACCCAGCAGTGATCAACAGAAGGACAGAGGGTAATTCAGGGCAAGTGGCAGATGGTTCCTGGAGGTTTGCTGGTGTCAGAGGACAAGTGTTGTGGCAGGAAAACTAAAGAATCAGTGAATCAGTTATGGAAGAATGGATGCTAGAGTGAAAGATTTTTAGAGGAAGCATATTTTTGTATTTTCAGACAGTTATTCCAGGGTAAGGTTTTATACACATGTTTATACGTGTATATAAAGCTTGAAATTACCTTTTAAAATGCTGGCATCGTGGTGTGGGAGGAGTCAAAGAACTCATAAAGAAAGTGACCTTAAGATCAGTAATTGTGTTAGAAAGGAGTTGAGAGAACATGAGACTCAAAGAAAAATGGGTACCTACTTGAGGAAGAAGAAAGAGACGAGGGGAACTAACAGGTCAGAAAAAGTCAAGACACCTTTCTGGGCCAGCTGTTTGCAATGTAGACACATGGAGAGAAGTGGTTAGGGGTTGAAAACATATATCCTATGTCACCATCAAAAGGAGATAAAGATAGATGATAGACAGATATAACAAAAGTAAAAAGAAAAGAAAGGGCATACCGCATGTATCTCTATTCACAACTTTAGAAAAAAACTTAGGACTACAATAGTTTTTAATAGAGAGATGAACTGAGTGATCTTAGAGCCACAAAAAGAATGACTCTGTAAGATAGTCAGGGGGAGAGAAGTCATTGTCTTCAGGGACTGATATGGCTTCTCCTGCTTCAGTAGATAGCCTCATACCATGTATAGGAGCGTCATCCTGGTTAAACCCAGTGAATCAAAGAAGAAACAAAAATGGTATAAGCACTTGAGGGCAGTAAGAGGATGGATGGTCAGGATGGAAAGATAAGGGAGTGTGGAAGCACTAGTGGGACCAGGTATTACCAGATTCCTCTATGAAACCATCATGAAATAAGTTAATTTTTAAAGGAATGCCTACATCATCAGACAGACTGAAGGGCTTTTGGGGAAGGAGTCTCCTACAGTGTAACCTTTGAACAGAATGTGAAGGGAGTTAACAATTCAGGGAAAGAAAAGGCACATGGAAGCATTCTGTCAGACCATCTCACATGGACACTTAAAGAAAAGGAAGAAGCAAATATAGATGAAGATGGAGGAAGTAGGTGTGAGGAGTGGTATAGGATAGGATGGGAAGCAGGTGTCAGGAGTGGTCCAGGACGGGCTGGGAAGACAGTCGGCATAGTAGTCCAGGACAAGTTGTGAAGTGGATGTGGGGAGTGGTCCAGGACAGGCTGGGAAGGGCAGATCATTGCAAGTTATTTTGAGAAATCTGTCAAAAGATTTCCATGTTTTATCGGATGTGATCCACTCATCTTTCATGTGCTTCAAAATTTCATATTGATCCTTGCAATGTTCTTCTAACATAAGTTTGGATTCATATGTTTTAGCTTCAGATCTCACACCTCATTCATAGTAGATTTAAGTCAGTCTAGCCTAGCTCCTCAAATAATTACATGTGGCGGGTGATTGTAACAACAGCCCACCCTTATATTTCCTGATAAGAAATACTTCAGTCTCATGTAACACATAAGATTTTTTATACCTCTTTAAAGAAATCCCCACATCTACTATAAAGTCATACATAAAATGATGGCTATCAAACACACATGCATAAAGATTCTCTGAGATGTGAAAGGAAACCCACAAGGCATTATTGGAACATTCTGTCTAATAGCTATGCATAGCATCAAACTCTAGTTATCCCAATGGTTGGATCTCTTCAGCATTCTGTAATGTGCAAGCACAACATAGTGAATTTTCTTCTTGATTAATTACAATCACTGACAATCCACATAGCCTCTCCTTGGTTTTCAAAAAAACCATAAAGATAAACAGTGATGATGTGACACTTCAAAACCTGAGGAAGCCAGAGTGCTTCAAGGTGAAGTTAGTTTCTATCAAGTCATCTCTTGCTTAATTTTATTTAATATCAAGTTTTCCTTCTGAGAGGCAGTAATGTAGCATTTGCAGTTTTCATTGGCTTTTTACCTCTTTTCATGTTCATTATTCCTGAATAAGTTCTGATGTACTTTTTAAATTAGGCAGCTTTAGCAATTAATTGATAGTGTGGATGGTAGTCCTGGTAAGTGTTCCTCTAGGATTGCAGTATATTCTGGAGGAAAACTCAGCTATAATTCATTTACCAATCTCAGCAGAAAAAAATAGTGTGGTTACTATAGACAAAAGTTATCATACACACACCTGCACAGGCTATGGGTTGGTTCAATGCATTTGTCCTGACAGTGTGTCAGAGTGTCTATGTATCAGTACAGCACTCTGATGTTTGTAAATGTTACCAGTAGCTGTCCTTTGTAATACAGACTTCTCCAAAAGCACACAAAAGTGACTGCTTCTCACTTTGGGTCCGGTGCACTCATGGAAGATGAGAGTTGATGAAACATTGATAGTTGATTCCATATGAATAATCAAAATATAGAAACTTGAAATATTGAGAAACTTTATTACTCGGTGTCTCTTCTGGTCTGAATCTCTTAGATGTCTTCCTCTTCAGAGAGGAATGAAGGCCAGGGGATTTTCTAAGGACCGAGACTGACAGTATCCTTGCCTGTACCAAAGCTGCTCTTTCTTAATCTTGTCTTTCATAACCAAGTAATCTTGGAGAGCAATTGAGGTATACAATTAGATAGACCTTGTTCCCAGTGGCAAGATAGCCTCAGGAACGAAAAGAGAAACTTTCTGCTTGGTACATGACTCAGTGAAGCAAGCATGGATGGCATGAGAGAACGGCAGAGCTGTCTCCTCTCCATGTGAGGGTCTCCTTACCACTGTATAATGTCTTTCCAGATTTCTAACCTTTACATCTACGACACGGTGCTTCTCCTTGCAAATGCTTTCCATAAGAAGCTGGAGGACCGGAAGTGGCACAGCATGGCAAGCTTGTCCTGTATCAGAAAAAACTCGAAGCCCTGGCAGGGAGGGAGGTCCATGCTGGAGACCATCAAGAAGGTAACTATCCATGTGCAACATTGCCCTGCTCTGCACGGTCAGGCAAAGCTGGGTGAAAAGGCATGAGCAGCCAGGTGCCTTTCCCAAGTTTGTTTACTTTCTTACGGCTGCTTCTGCAAACTCAGACCAGAAAATGGAGAAATGCAGCTCTTATAAAAGACAAAGATATATAGAAAGGGGAAGTCATATTTAAAAGATCAGATACAGGAGAAGGGAGATGGAGGGTGTGACATTTAAATTGTCATGGTTATGCTTTTAGGTTAAAGAAACAGGGATTTTTTTGTTTGTTTTTTGATATTACAAGTCACAACACGCTGTTTCTTTGTCATTTGATTGATTGACCACACCACCAGCTGAAAAGTCTCACAATAGGTTTCATGGTTTTTCATTTGAGCAGCATAAGATAAGCCACTTGATGTGAGAATATTTATCTTCTAATAAAAACATGATTCATAAACAGTTAATATGTTACTGCACTATGAAGTATTTTATGCACCGATTGTATCCTTCTTCTCACTATCAGAGTGTGGCCTGCCGAGTGGGTGACCTGCTTGGGCATAGCTATTCCATCCCCAGAAGGTAGTTTATGCCATTCATCTCTCCTTGGTGGGATAAGCACACCCCAGCCGATTAGCCTCTTTGTCATGTCGTCCTTGCTGACATTCTCCAGTTGTCTCGTGCAGCTTCTTTGATTTAAAATGAAATGATTAATAAAACAAACAAAGTTTTCCTGTACCCTTTGCACAAGGAGAAAGCGGTGAGGAGTTTCATGATGTTTACTTACCCATCCATTTTATTTTCTCACATCTTTACCTTTCTTTCCTGAAACAAAAAAGAAAAATGGCTAGTCATTTGAAATATGCACACATTTATAGAAGATGGAAAAGTGTTTATAAAAATTGTAGCCCTGGCTTTAAAATGAATGAGCAAAGAACAGGAACTAAAGGAAGTAGATTCTTCAATGGGACAAGAGCCTGGAGTTTCCCTTGGAGCCATTTGCTCTTGACAAAGAATCACTTTGCTGAGAATTCAGGCGATCAACCAAAGTAGTAGAGAATTAAATGTGTCAAACACACTGGCATAGGAACTTTTTTTTGGTTGAAAATGAATAAAGCAAACAGAAACTAAGGTGTTGCTAAAACCTCTGAACTCTATTTCTGTAGAGAGCTGGCAGGTGTGAGTCCAAGGGAGGTTGTTGAACATGAGTCTGATCTGCCAATTTATTAATTCATGATTTGAAGAAAACTCGGGAACTTACATCAGTGTGTTGTTCTGAAGCTTCTCACAAAGAGAGAACTGTGGCCTAGGGTTTTCTTAGGAGACACTGTTACATGTGGGTGTTTCACATGTAGCAGTTAGATATATAAAAAAGATTCTGTTGTACTTGTATGATTGAGGCAATTATTCAATACAGTAATTATGAGATATTATCTTGAAGGACGATTTGCATTTATGTCCTGCAAGAATCCATCTTATTTTCAAAAGGGATGTATGAATTCCATGTCCGGCAACAATAATGAAGGCATGATTCCACATTACATTTTTGGCTCACAGTTTAAATTGTACTTAAAAGGGTGGAATTAATTTTCCTCAATTGTATCTTTCTTTTTTCTCCCAGTTGAAGTGTTTTGGGTCATCCTATTCAGATGTTGGGAATGATGAAAATGCCCACACCAAAACAATATTGGGAGTATTGGCCTTATACAGCAACTCATGAAAGCAGAGTGGCTGTGGGCAGATCCAGCATACTTGGTCAAAGCCAGGGACTGGGTAAACCATTGCTGAGAACTGGGGCTGAAGAAATTTGTCATCTGTGGTGACAGTGTAGCTGGAGACATTCTGCATTAGCATTAAATATGCAGATGTAGTATTGACTTTCTTAGCAGCCTGTCCAGATGTGGAGACAAAGAGGAAAGGATGGGCAAAGACTAACAAGGGAATAGCCATGCACATCACAAATGAGTTCTGAATTTTAATTGTGATGTTAATATTCCTGTGCTATCATTGAAATTATATTCATGTAAACACAGTGTATCTATGTTAAGGGCATGCTATATACACTTTACATGGGTGTACAAACAATATTGGTTCACTTTATATACCCATACAGACTACAGATAAGTTCCAGAATGAGCTTCTGGCCTTGAATTAATTGTAGTCCTAATACCAGGATGAAACAAAGGGTTTGCAAAGTGATGTGGCTGAGATGTCATGCTCAGAGACTCCTGGTGTAGCTCTGAGATCTATTGTTGGAGATGGTAATATAGTATTACAAGTTAAAGAGATGATCAACAAACAGCAAGTAAAGTAAGAACTTCTCTCTCCCACGAACTAGAAACGTATGGTATCACATCTCATGGCATTGTTGTCTACACATTTTTTGTATATGATCTTTAGAAGAATTATTACTTTTTTATTTAAGAAACAATCTTATTTTACATATCAATCACAGTTCCCTCTCCCTGCCAAAGTCTAATGCCCCCCACTGACACCCCCTTTCCCCATCTTACTCCCCATTCACTCCCCAGGGAGTGTGAGGCCTTCCATGGGGGAAACATAAAAGCCTATCACTTAATTTGGGGCAGATGCTAGGCCCTCCCCCTTATATTTAGGATGAGAGAGTATCCTTCCATAGGGGAATGGGTTCCCAAAATCCATTTGTGCATTAGCAATAAATGCTGGTTCCACCACCAGAGGCCCCTTAGACTGCCCAAGTCTCTGAACTGGCACCCACATTCGGGGCCCTAGTTCCTCAGGTGCCTGTCAGGGATCCATGAGCTCCCACTTGTTCAGGTCATCTGGTTCTATGGTTTTCCCAGAATGGTCTTGACCCCTTTGCTCATCACTCCTCCTTCTCTGCAACTGGTGTCCAGGAGTTCAGTTCAGTGTTTAACTGTGGGTGTCTGCCTCTGCTTCCATCACCCAGTGGATGAAGGTTCTAGGATGGCATATAAGGTAGTTGTCAATCTTATTATCGGGGAAGAGCATTAAAGGCATCCTCTCCACTATTGCTTAGATTCTTAGTTGGGGTCATCCTTGTAGATTGCTGGACATTTCCCCAGTGCCTGATTTCTCTTTAAACCTGTAGTGGTGTCCTCTATTAAAGTATATCTTTTCCTGCTTTCCTCTATTCATCATCAACTTAAACTTCCTGATCACTCATGTTCTCCTCCCCCTTCTCTTTCTCCTACCTCTTTCTCCACTCCCCAGAGCTTCCAATTTGTTTAATAACTCTTGTCCCTTTTCCCTTCTTCAAGCAGCCACGTATGAGAAGGAATAATAATTTTAACTAACGAACTTTCTACAACACAGAATCTATTCTGTCCTCTTTTTATAGTCATCCTGAAATATTTAGACTCTTCCATTTCTCCATTTTACTTGGTCTTAAATATATTTATAATATCCTGTATTTGTATCTATATGTTAGTGTACATGTGTGCATGCATATGTATGTTGTATATATGTATGTTTATATGTGGAACTATGTATATGTATATGTATGTGCTTCCGTATTTGTGTTGTATGTAAATATATGTGTATGAGCTGTATATATGAGTGTATGTGTTGTGTATGCATAATTTGAATATGTACATGTGTGTTTCCTATGTAAGTATAATGTATAAGTATGTGTATATGTGTTTGCCGAACATGTGTGTATATGTACTATATGTGTGTAAACAAACATACTATCATGAATGGGATATGCATTCCAGATGAGGAAGTTTTTGGTGTTTAATTTCCTTTTGACTGGTCTAATAACTGAAAACTGCTTCTTGTGTGCTTGTCAAGTACATGTAGATATCACTTGAAAATGAAATTTTACTTATCACGTCATCCTCTTAAAGCATCTTAAAAATTTCCTAGTTTAACTGTATTCACTTCCACTTCCAAATGTATAATTTATATGGTAAACATTAGCTTACAAAGAATCTTTACAAGAATTAGGTATAGCAAGGTTATAATTTGAAAATGTTACTTTTTTAAAACATGGAACAGAAGATTCTTGTTTTTTAATTGTTTTCTTCCTTTTTAATTTAAAATAGAAACAAGCTTATTGTACATGTCAATTCCAGTTCCCTCCCCATCCTCTCCTTCCTTATCCCCCACCAGTCCCCTATCCCATGGTGAGGACATCCATGTAGGATTGTCAAAGTCTGTCATATCATTTGGAGGAGGGCCTAGGCCCTCTACCATGTGTCTGGGCTATGTAGAGTAGGCTCCCAAAGTCCACTTGTGTACTAGGGATAAATACTGATCTACTACCAGAGGCCCCACAGATTAACCAGACTTCCTAACTGACATCCATGTTCAGGGGGTCTGGAACAGTCCTATGCTGGTTTCCCAATCATCAGTCTTTGTTCCATAGGCTGCCCTTGTTCAGGTCAGCTGTTTCTGTGAGTTTCTCTCGTCTGGTCTTGACCTTTTCTCATCACTCCTTCTTCTCTGCAACTGGATCCCAGATCTTCAGCTCAGTGATTAGCTGTGGGTGTCTGCTTCTGCTTCCATTAGCTACTAGATGAAGTCTCTAGATAGCACATAAGATAGTCATAAATCTCATTATCTGAGGAGGGCATTTATGGTAGCCTCTTGACTATTGCTTTGATTGTTAGTTGGGATCATCCTTGTAGATCTCTGAACATTTCCCTAGTCCCAGGTTTCTCCTTAAGTCTATAATGGATCCTTCTATTATGGCATCTCTTTTCTTGCTCTCTTCTATTCTTCCTCTGATCTTATCTTCATGCTCCCTCATGTAAAATTTTAATTTTTACTAGTAACATAATTTTATGGTGGTGAAGTAGAATCAAATTAAATTAACCTATATAATCATATCATTCTAACTTATTTAATAATACTAATCTAATCTATATCTCCCAATTTTAAACCGTAGATAACTAAGTCTTGGAAAAAGTAAATGATTTAATAAGGATTGTGCAGATTATTAGCTTTAAATACCAGATTTCCTGACTGAAATTTTCTGTGATTTATTTTATTTTATCACT